CTGCCAAAGATAGAGATGACATTTGTTATCCCTTGACGACGAAAAATCTCTCTTTGAAAATTAAGCAAACTAACTCATTTTTTTTTTAGGAGGGAGTTTCACAAAAATATATTTTATCTGTGCATCACGGTCTGAAAAGAAAAGTCAGAATTAATAACTGTGTTAAATAAAAAATCAGTGTGGTTTTCAGAACCCCTTCTATTCTGTGTACCTACCCGTGTGGTTGGAGATTCGAAATGTTATTTAAGTCTCATTTTCCTTCAGAAGCTAACCTCTGTGGAATAAAATGCTGTTAAGGAAGAAATAAAAATCTTTTCTGTCATTTGACTTTAACTTATGATAAATTAGCTTCAACTAGTTTCTTAGAAAATTGCCCAAGAAATAACTACAGAAAATTAAATACCAATACTTCAAAGAGGCAAACACACAGCTTTCAAATTCCGACCTCAGAGAATAATCCTCCCTTTCTGGTGCTTTGGAGAGATGTGAGTAAAGAAATCGTATGAGAGCATGGTAATTAACCATCTTTCAAATGACTTTTCTATCAATCTTCTTTTCGAAGGGTAATAAAGTGATGATTATTTCTAGGCAGTTTCTGGGAAGTTATCATCTCATTTCAATCGTCACCAGCAAGGACTGCACTGTGGTGCTATCCCCACGATGATAAGGGCAAGAGCTGGCTGAGAATTCAATAGACAAGGTGCAGGCTGTTAAAAGCTATTTCCTGGAAAATTAAAACAAAGAGAGATCAAAAGAATCATGTTGGGTCTTAAGGAATTGGTCATCACTCCTTTCTAAATTAAAAATGCAAATCTGATTTATTACCTAGTGAATGAAATTTATTATCATTTGAAGATTTCATTATTTCAATAAATAATATTGAAAGCTTATTATGTGCCACACTTTGTGCTGGGTGCTGGTGACTGATGGTGACAGAAAACAAGCCATGGCAGGGGCAGCTCTGTGGTGACTTCAAGAACCTGAGTGGTCCATCTCATGTAAAGCAACAAAAACCAAAAAAAAAAAAAAATTATTTTTAAGTTGAATAAATTGTTTGGGGAGAAGTGTTAGTCATCAAGTTTGTTTTCTACAAAGTCACAGAAAGGAACAACAGGGCAAGAAAGACCCCAAACTGTATGTGACCTCAGTCCCAGAGCTGTCAGAGCTTTAGGACATCATGGTGCAGAAGTCGCTTCGGGAATGCACAGCCTGGTGAGAGGGAAAGCCTGTGCACAGGGCCCCTCAGAAAGCACTCTGAGACCCTGGCTGCTGCTCTGGTCCCCATCTGGGAAGTGGGCTTAATGCTCAGACAAGGGGTGTGCAGTCGCTTTTCTTCAGTGGTTCCTAAAAGCACTTATTTTATCTTTTTATTTTATCTTAATTCTCTTATCCCAGTCTGAAATTACAGCCCACTGGCAGACAGGGTATAGGATACACCTCCAGATTCAACATTTTCCCAGAACTCAAATTTTTTCAGTACTACCCCAAAATCCAAACTTGGAAGAGAGAGAGAGAGGAGAGGGAGAG